ACACAGACCCACAGATTCAAAAGCAGTATTTTACTTAAACTACCCTATAATAGATTGGAATGAGTATGAAGGGTTGGGAAAAGGGAGGGGAAAGGAAGGAAGGCAAGCTGATAGGAGGAGGAATGATAAATAATGTAAACTTGGCTTTGAACATACCCACCATTTGGGGGGGGCAATCAATTTAAGCTTCCCTTCAATTTCATATACAATCATGGGATTTTAGAGCTGGAAGAGCTCTTTGAGATAATCTAATCTCCTTTTATATTTAGGTAAACTAGAGGCCCCGAGAGAGGGAAGATGATGTACCTTAGGCCACTATTCCAGGTGTTCTTCTGAAAGACAAAGTGGAATAGTGATCAAGAGTGTGTCCTTTGGAGACAGATTGTATGAATTGAAATCTCAGCTCTTCTGCTTACTAGCTGTGTGACCTTGGGCAAGTCACCTAACTGTTCTGTTCCTTAGTTTTCTTTATAAAATGGGTATAAAAGTAGTACCTACCTCATAGGGTGCTATAAGAATGAAAAGAGGTAATATATGAAAAGCATTTACAACAGTGTCTGGTAGGCCTGATACCTGGTAACTGCCGTGAGTTAGCTGCTGCTGGGGCAGCTGCTGCTTTTGTTGTGATAATCCTGCCATTCCAAGGCCAGTGATTTCCCCATACCAAATTGTCTGTCCATAGCCTTATGTGACTAAAGAAATAAACATAAAACCTCCTTGGGTCTCCTCTGAAGTCACCTTGGAGTTTATCTTGTTAGCAAGTAGAAAGTGGAAAACACAAGGGTAAACCACAGGTGGTGACATTTAAATTTATACTATGTGATCTATCTGAATGGATCTTCTGCAGTAGCAAAGATAATTGACTTCTTTGTTTTTTACTCTGTTACATTAGCAGCATGCGTTTACCTACACAATTGCTTTTTTTAAAAAAGTTTATCATTATCAAAATAATAGAGAAATAAAAAATTATTTTGATGTGAATTGCATTATATGTACCTTTGGTTTTTCTACGAGTTGATAATGTCATCATCATGTCTAAATGACATTGGCTTGTCAGTGGACCTCCAGGCACTGAATGAAAACGTCAGTTAAGCAGATATGAACCTATTCTTTACCTTAGAGTATTTAGAACAGCATCTTTTCAGAATTATTGTGCTTTCAAACTTCGTTACATTTAAAATATTAATCTCTTTCTTAATGTTTTACCACTTTTTTATTTTCAAAAGGTGAACTAGTTTTGAGTAACATCAAGCTCTGTCTCTCAAGACCTTGTTAAATCTCACAGTTGTATACTTTCACAGCTCTAGGCACATGATTATGTGTGCCTCCGTATCACGTGTCTGAAGAGAGCTGGAGTATATCTTCTGCCACCTCTGTCCACTGACGTAGATTTTAACATAAGAAATTGTGGTTGAGGGTCAGGGAACAGGGAAAGATTATTTTCTCTTGGTTTTTACCAATTTGTGATGTAAGATTGTTTCCAACGGACACTCTGATTATAGCTGTGAATAGCTGTGATTAGAACTTCAAGAATGGTTCAGAATGGCTATAGGAATCTCTCTCTCTTCTCATCTCACTTTCATGTTGCAAGTACACATACTGAGGGAAAGAAGAATGTCTAGATTTTCATACATAAAAATACAGGTGATTTTAACATGATAAATCATAGTAACCAAAACACAACGTTAGGCATTAGAAGTGAGATGTTTTTCATTTTTAAATTTAACTTGTTAGGTTCGAGTGGTATAAATTTATAACCAGCTGAGGCTTAAGAGGGAGCATTATTTTGGCCATACCTCTGCTATGTTAATCCCAAGCAGAGTGAACCAAAGATTTTACTGAAAGAGCAAGTGAGAGATCGGAAGTGTGCTTTAGAAAATAAAATAATATCTATTTATCTCCTTATTATAACATTTTATCAAGCATGTTATTGGTTTTTTTAATTATAAGGTCCTTGATTGATATTTTTGCATTATCAATGACCTTATGTGGAAAATAGCTCTCCAGCCCTGCTCAGTAAACTTTCAGTCTTTAATGAACAAAGAACTGTATGTGTTGGTTAAAATGAAGTGGCGTGAATTTTATTGATGCCTCCTTTTCTGGGTGAAAGTCCAATCTTCAGCTGCAACAATGCATCTCGGGAAGTCTGCTATTGGTACATTTCTCACTTTGCACTGTTTGTAGCTAAGTCAAGGTCTAAAATCCAGGCAACTGTTTACTTTCTGAAGAATATGCTATGGGAACCTAAGAAGAGAGAGATTAAAATTGGCTTTAGATGCTCAATGGAATTTCAGTGGTTGTGGTGATGGTGTTGGTGATGAACAAATAAGCAGTCCTTTCCCAGTATCTTCATCTTTGGTGCTCAAACATTACTTTGTCTTTTTTTTGAGTCATTTCATTATGCTTTGTAGTAGAGTTGTTTATTTATCACTTATATTACATAACAACTGTGAGTTCCTTGGGGGCAGAGACTATGGCCTATTCATTTCTATATTCTCCCTGGCCCCTCTTGTGAGTCTTGGCAATGGTTTATTCATTTCACTTAACAGGTATTGAGCAAAGGTCTACTATATGCAAGGCACTGTGCTCATTTTGGGGATATAGGAATGAATAGAACAGATAAAAATATCTACCTTCATAGAGGTTGCATTTCAGAGGAGAGAGACAGGTGGCAGACAATAAACAAAATATACAGTATATCATTTAGTGACAAGTGCTATGAAAGACAGGAAGGAGGATGAGAAATGACACTTTTCAGTGGTTTACAATGAGAGGTTGCAAAGGCCCTGAGGTGGAATCGTGCCTGGTATTTTTGGAAACAGCAAGAAGGATAGTACATCTAGAGTGCATGAGATGGGGGAAATATCAGAGGATGAGTTTGGAGACGTTAGGGGAGGGAGAGGTGGACACTGTAGGGGTCCACCTAGGTCATTGTAAGGATTTCAGCTTTTATTTTAAAGGAAATAGGGTGCCATTGCTACTTTTGAGCCAAGAAGAGACATGCTATGACTTAGATTTAAAAGCTTCATTCTGGCTGGAGTGTGGGGAACTTGCTATAAGGGACTGATGGTGTAGCAGCGGATCAATTAGGAGGCTATTGCAATAATCCTGGTGTGGTAGTAGGGAAGTGGAGACATGTTGTTGGATTCTGGATATATTTCAAAGGTAACACCTACAGGATGAACTGATGGATTGCATGTGGGATGTGAAAGACAGGAATCAAGGATGACTTCAAGTAGTGTGGCCTCAGCAAACAGAAGAATGAAGTTGCCATTTACCAAGGTGGAGAAGACTATGAAAGGAGCAGTTTTGGGAAGGGAAGCAGTTTTGAACATAGTAAGTTTGAGATACCTTTTAGATATCCAAGTAGAGACATTGAGTAAGCAGTTGGATATTCAAGTCTATGGCTCAGGGGAGGGACCTATGCTGGAGCTACAGATTGGGGGACTGTGAGTGTATAGTCAGTATGTGAAGCCGTCAGATGGTATGAGCTTAGATTATTATTGAATCATCAGTATATATTCATTTATAATACTTTATCTGCTTTCTCTCCAAGGATGCTCAACTCTGCTGTCAATTCAACCAAGCTAGGTGTCTCTGTGGGCCACTTAATGGAATTTGTAGATTCAGGAGTTAAATAGTTTTTACTATGTATGTGCCTAGAGTAGTGCTAAGTGGTATGGGGGACATAAAGAGGAATAAGACTCAGAGTCTGCCTTCAAGGACCTGGTTAGGGAACTAAGGCTTCAACTGGTGAAACGTTGCTCATGCTATGAAGCATTATGTACCATTGAATGCATATCAGTCAATTGATAAGCTTTATTGAGTGATTTCAGTGTTCTTTTTGCTGTACATGCAATAGAAATTCCAAAAAGTGAGATACTGTACATGATAAAGGAGCCACTACCTAGATGCCTGAAGATTTCTTTGACAATGCATATGGTGAAGAGCTGAAGAAAAATAAGGGAGTCATTTTCACTGCAAAATAAAATCATGGCATTATTTGGTTTCAAGCTAGGTTTCTTTAACATTGTATGAAAGGACCAAGTTGCAGAGTTACAACAGTGGATGAAAATGAGAATGAAAATAAGAACATTTTGACAGGACTTTAAACTTTTCAGAAGACTTTGACAGCTCAGGTGGCATTTGATCTTCTCTGACCACTCTGTGCTAAGTAAGGTGGATAATGCCTCTATGGGTCTTAAGAGCCTTAGTGGCTCCTAGCTCAGCATTCTGTGGGGAAGGGGGGTTCTTTCAGTGATTTATCATGAAGTGTTAAATCTCTATTTCTAAACCCAATTTAGATCCTGCTGTTCCTACACCAGTATACTCACCAGAAGTGTTGTTTATATCCTCTCGGTACTATGAAGAACAAAAATTTACCACCACCTAACTCATTAAAAATGCTCTGCAAGCCTGAGGCGCAGAAGCCACTGTATGAACACATAGAGCTCAGTCCCCCTTAAGGACGCTTTATTTCATGAGCCTCTCTAACTCAGAATCATTCTCTTCCTCAGAGCCCCTTTCTTAAATGCAGTATTAAACCAGAGGCAAGTATGTGTTTTTTTCTGAATGTAGTTCTCTTACCAGTTTTCATTTCAGATGTAGGATGTGCTGGGTTAATATTTGTACTTCTGGCCACTTTCAAATCTTATAATGTTTTTTTAATCTGACCACAGACGTTAACATTAAACACATGCACACACCATAGAAAAACACTGTCCTTTATTTGCCTTCCAATACAAATATTTTTGAAGACTCTCTTTCACCTTGAGTATTTTCTAATACTGCTACCTCCAGCTTAATCCTAACTGCTTGACAAGGTATGCGTGTAACACAGTGTTATTATTGCCTCCGGCTAGCTTCATGTCATCTAGTTTGTCTTTTGCTCCCCTCCTTGGACAGTATTATCAGGACCAATTGTGAATCGGCCAGATGCATTTTCTCGCAAAAGGACAAATCTAAGATGGCTTGTGTTCTTCCCTCTTTCTTTCAGGACTGCTTACATTAAAGGAGTTCCTTTTTTCATGAAACTGAGCTTGCTTAATCAGAGATGGAGCAAACAGACTGCAAACCCTATCAGCCTCTGTCAAAAGTCAAGCATGAAATGGACCTAGCTTATACTAGTTCTTCCGATGAGAGTGAAGATGGAAGAAAACCAAGACAGTCATACAACTCCAGAGAAACTCTGCATGAGTATAACCAAGAGCTGAGGATGAATTACAATAGCCAGAGTAGGAAGAGGAAAGAAGTAGAGAAATCTACTCAAGGTATGTTTTTATTGGATTTTTATAGCTAATATTATTTCTCATTAGGGAATGCTTGTATGCATAAACATAAGTTTCAAAAACAAATTTGCTGATGTTAACTGGTTAATAATTTGCGCTACTTACATATGCTTAGTGAATCTGTTTCATATGCCAATCCAGCTGAGGTTGTCGGATTGTGCATGAATTTGGATGCAACAATCCTCTTATCAGAGCATTCAAAATTTGTCTAATCCTACAAATAGCCATTTACAGACTGAAGGATAAATAATTTATAGTAAGATGAAAAGTAAACAGCTAAGTGCTTTTCAAGCCATTGCCTATATGGGACAAAAGTCTCAAATAAATATTTGGCATCTAAAAGAGCTTTAAAAAGGTTAGTGGGGACTACCAAGCAAAGGTCCAGAAAGTTTGTCCACAGAATGCTGAAACCTTGTGCAACACAGTCCTAAGGGAAGGTAAGAATTGGTTGGAACCCTTCCTACCACAGCCGTAATGTGGGGCATATCCTTTGGACAGCCTTGGTTTTTCAATTATGGATTGACAAGACAGTTTCTAATAAATAGAAAACAGATAGAAATATTATTTCCTTATTTCTTTTCAATTGATAGATACGTGGTATTAGACTATTTTAACTACACAGGAAAAAAAAAGATACTGACATTGGCACAGGTTACTTTTTTTAAAAAAGAATAAGTCTGTGTTGAGATTTAAAAAAAAAATAATTTTATTATCTAGATCAGTGGTTCTCAAAGCATGGACCTTGGACCAGCAGGAACAGCATCACCCACAGACTTGTTAGAAAGGCAAATTCTCTGGGATCACCAAAGATCATGTAAAGTGTGGTTATTACAAATGAAAATTGTTGTATTCTAATTAGTATTGGAACCTTATGTTAGAAAAACTTTAAATGGAGCCAAAGATTCAAGATATTCATACCAACATTTAGATATGCACTAAATGTTTATATTAACTATGTTACTCATTTTTTAGCTCTTAACATACTTGCTAAAGGTCTTATATCTGTCTTTTCAAGTAATTCATTTTAATCTTCCCTATTTATTCAGCTAAAGACTGAAACTTTGTTATGAGTAATTTTATTCTTCTGCGTAACTGGAAATTGGAAAATGTCTTATGGGAATTTTTGGGGGGGTGTTCTATTATACTTTAAGAAATGTGTAGTTACCATTAAAATATTTTTCTATTAAGTTTGTCTTTACAGAATATGAACTTACAATTGTGACTTGTGGCTTATGGAATTGGAGTGTAGAGTGCCTGACCTAATAATGTTGTGAATTTAAATAAGAATGTATTTCTGGTGACAGTTTGTTCTAAAAGTATAAGCAATTTTATATTAAGTCAATATAAAGAACTAGCCAGCCTCGGATTTTGTCTCTCTGCATTGTGATCAAAATGAATTCTGAGACAAGAGAAGTTTGTCTTTAAAGATGTCACCCTAATTTCATTTTAATAACCTATTATTATTCAATAAGTTTATTTTTTAACATCTTTATTGGAGTATAATTGCTTTACAATGTTGTGTTAGTTGCTGCGGTATAACACAGTGAATCAGCTATATGTATACATATATCCCCATTTCTCCTCCCTCTTGTGTCTCCCTCCCACCCTCCCCATCCCACCCGTCTAGGTGGACACAAAGCACCGAGCTGATCTCCCTGTGCTATGCAGCTGCTTCCCACTAGCTATCTATTTTACATTTGGTAGTGTATACATGTCCATGCCACACTCTCACTTTGTCCCAGCTTATCCTTCCCCATCCCCGTGTCCTCAACTCCATTCTCTACATCTCCATCTTCATTCCTGTCCTGCCCCTAGGTTCTTCAGAACCATTTTTTTTCTTTTAGATCCATATATATGTGTTAGCATACGGTATTTGTTTTTCTCTCTCTGACGTACTTCACTCTGAATGACAGACTCTAGGTCCATCCATCTCACTACAGATAACTCAATTTCGTTTCTTTTTATGGCTGAGTAATATTCCATTGTATATATGTGCCACATCTTCTTTATCCATTCATCTGTCGATGGACACTTAGGTTGCTTCCACGACCTGGCTACTGTAAATAAGGCTGCAATGAACATTGTGATACATGACTCTTTTTGAATTATGGTTTTCTCAGGGTATATGCCCAGTAGTGGGATTGCTGGGTCATATGGTAGTTCTATTTTTAGATTTTTAAGGAACCTCCACACTGTTCTCCATAGTAGCTGTATCAATTTACATTCCCACCAATAGTGCAAGAGCGTACCCTTTTCTCCACACCCCGACCAGCATTTATTGTTTGTACACTTTTTGATGACGGCCATTCTGACCGGTGTGAGGTGATGCCTCATTGTACTTTTGATTTGCATTTCTCTAATGATTAATGATGTTGAGCATCCTTTCATGTGTCTGTTGGCGATCTGTATATCTTCTTTGGAGAAATGCGTATTTAGGTCTTTTGCCCATTTTTGGATTGGGTGGTTTGTTTTTTTGATATTGAGCTGCATGAGCTGTTTGTAAATTTTGGAGGTTAATCCTTTGTCAGTTGCTTCATTTGCAAATATTTTCTCCCATTCTGAAGGTTGTGTTTTTATCTTGTTTATGGTTTCCTTTGCAGTGTAAAAGCTTTTAAGTTTCATTAGGTCCCATTTGTTTATTTTTGTTTTTATTTCCATTTCTCTAGGAGGTGGGTCAAAAAGGATCTTGCTGTGATTTATGTCATAGAGTGTTCTGCTTATGTTTTCCTCTAAGAGTTTTATATTGTCTGGCCTTACATTTAGGTCTTTAATCCATTTTCAGTTTATTTTTGTGTATGGTGTTAGGGAGTGTTCTAATTTCATTCTTTTACATGTAGCTATCCAGTTTTTCCCAGCACCACATATTGAAGAGGCTGTCTTTTCTACATTGTATATTCTTGCCTCCTTTATCAAAGATAAGGTAACCATAAGTACATGGGTTTATCTCTGGGCTTTCTACCTTGTTCCATTGATCTATATTTCTGTTTTTGTGCCAGTACCATCCTGTCTTGATTACTGGAGCTTTGTAGTATAGTCTGAAGTCAAGGAGCCTGATTCCTCCAGCTCCGTTTTTCTTTCTCAAGATTGCTTTGGCTATTTGGGGTCTTTGGTGCTTCCATACAAATTGTGAATTTTTTTTCTTCTGGTTCTGTGAAAAATGCCATTGGTAGTTTGATAGGGATTGCACTGAATCTGTAGATTGCTTTGGGTAGTATAGTCATTTTCACAATGTTGATTCTTCCAATCCAAGAACATGGTATATCTCTCCATCTGTTTGTATCATCTTTAATTTCTTTCATCAGTGTCTTATAGTTTTCTGCATACAGGTCTTTTGTCTCCTTAGGTAGGTTTATTCCTAGGTATTTTATTCTTTTCGTTGCAGTGGAAAATGGGAGTGTTTCCTTAATTTCATTTTCAGATTTTTCATCATTAGTGTATAGGAATGCAAGAAATTTCTGTGCATTAATTTTGTATCCTGTGACTTTACCAAATTCATTGATTAGCTCTAGTAGTTTTCTGGTGGCAGCTTTAGGATTCTCTATGTATAGTATCTTTCATCTGCAAACAGTGGCAGTTGTACTTCTTTTCTGATTTGGATTCCTTTTATTTCTTTTTCTTCTCTGGTTGCTGTGGCTAAAACTTCCAAAACTATGTTGAATAATTGTGGTGAGAGTGGGCAGGCAACCTTGTCTTGTTCCTGATCTTAGAGTAAATGGTTTCAGTTTTTCACCACTGAGAACGATATTGGCTGTGGGTTTGTCATATATGGCCTTTATTATGTTGAGGTGTGTTCCCTATATGCCTACTTTCTGGAGGGTTTTTATCATATTTGGGAGTTGAATTTTGTCAAAAGCTTTTTCTGCATCTATTGGGATTAGTATATGGTTTTTATTCTTCAGTTTGTTAATATGGTATATCACTTTGATTGATTTGCATATATTGAAGAATCCTTGCATTCCTGGGATAAACCGCACTTGATCATGGTGTATGATCCTTTTAATGTGCTGGTGGATTCTGTTTGCTAGCATTTTGTTGAAGTTTTTTTTTTTTTTTTTTTTTGCGGTATGTGGGCCTCTCACTGTTGTGCCCTCTCCCGTTGTGGAGCACAGGCTCCTTGTTGAGGATTTTTGCATCTATGTTCATCAGTGATATTTACCTCTAGTTTTCCTTTTTGGTGACATCTTTGTCTGGTATTGGTATCATGGTGTTGGTGGCCTCGTAGAATGAGTTTGGGAGTATTCCTCCCTCTGCTATATTTTGGAAGAGTTTGAGAAGGATAGGTATTAGCTCCTTTCTCAATGTTTGATAGAATTCGCCTGTGAATCCATCTGGTCCTGGGCTTTTGTTTGTTGGAAGATATTTAATCACAGTTTCAATTTCAGTGCTTGTGATTGGTCTGTTTATATTTTCTATTTCTTCTTGGTCCAGTCTTGGAAGGCTGTACTTTTCTAAGAATTTGTCCATTTCTTCCAGGTTGTCCATTATATTGGCATATAGTTACTTGTACTAATCCCTCATGATCCTTTTTATTTCTGCAGTGTCAGTTGTTACTTCTCTTTTTTCATTTCTAATTCTATTGATTTGAGTCTTCTCCCTTTTTTTCTTGATGAGTCTGGCTAGTGGTTTATCGTATTCTCAAAGAAACAGCTTTTAGTTTTTTTGATCTTTGCTGTTGTTTCCTTCATTTCTTTTTCATTTATTTCTGATCGGATCTTTATGATTTATTTCCTTCTGTGAACTTTGGGGTTTTTTTGTTCTTCTTTCTCTAATTGCTTTAGGTGCAAACTTAGGTTGTTCATTTGAGATGTTTCCTGTTTCTTAAGGTAGAATTGTATTGTGATAAAGTTCCCTCTTAGAAGTGCTGTTGCTGCATCCCATAGGTTTTGGGTGATCGTGTTTTCACTGTCATTTGTTTCTAGGTATTTTTTGATTTCCTCTTTGATTTCTTCAGTGATCTTTTGGTTATTTAGTAGCATACTGTT